TGTTAAAAAAAAATGTTTTAAAGGCAAGCTACTACCTATTACTAAGTCTGCTTTTAATACTTATTCAGTTAAAAAATATTATTTTTATTAAGTCAAATTTAGCTTTTATTTTGCGAAGTAATTTCGCAACATAATATTGAATGTAAACTAAGGGCAGAAGCATTATTATAATTTTGGATCTATAAATTTTACAATTTACAACTGCTACGAAAAAGATAAAATTCTGTAGGAAACATTTTGAGAGAAAAAAAACTTGAAACGTAAAGCATTGGAACAGAAATTTTCTATTGTACAAATATTTATTGAATTCTATAAATAGAAGCCTAAAATATGAAAATTTTTTTAAATAAATTAATAAATTACTAATTTAAACTTCCTGTTTCTTTCTGATTATTTCAATAGAAAAAAAATCGATGCTGGCATTTTAAAGCCAAAAACTTTAAAATATGGTGTTTTAATGTTTCGTATTTGGTGGCACAGAAAATTTTGTTTAAGAAGGACCTGATACATTTCACAGGTAACTTAATTTATAACTTTTTGGAATTACAATTGTTTTATTTACTATTAAAAAAACTTTTAGAATGTTCTTTTTTTTCTTCATCAAACCATTGCGTCGGTGCCCTGGCCCTGTAATCTCACCTTCACTTGGTGATGCAAAAAAAAAGAACTTTTACTTCAACTTGCAGGAGTCACGTAAAACCAGTTTTTCTACAAGCAACCGTACATTTTAGCTCGTGGCACGGTCGGTGAAGCATGGCTGTACAATGATCCTAATTTCATTTTTAACTTTCTGTGTTTATTTGTAATTAATTATGTTTAAATTAAATTTATTCTTCAAACTTTAATTGGTAATTTGCTTTAATGCTTATAAAAACTCAATTTACCAAATTGGTGACCCTTTTTTCGAACACTCGTTCAACATCAACTCAGGATATGGCGTTTCAACAATTTCAGTAAGTTTATTTTTTAAATTGGTTTCCACTAGGAGTATCACGCGGTAACTTTTATTTTCTTATGTGGCTTTTTTTTATTTCTTATTACCGTCTAATTTAATAGTTATTTTTACTTCTCACTAAACATGGCATTTTTGTTATAGCAATGTTCGCGTTCATCAATATTTACATTATTTTTAATAATAATCCATAATCAAATTTGTTAACTAAATTCACGACTTATTTGAGAATTTTCTTTTAATTTGTTTAAACATTCCGCAATGCCTAACGAAACTCTAGACGAAAATCAAATTGCTCACGTGGCAGTCAAACCACCTCCGTTTTGGAAATCAAATCCCGCCTTGTGGTTTGTCCGGCTAGAAGCACAATTCAGTTTGGCTAAAATTTCCACCGATGATACAAAGTTTAATTACGTACTTGCAGCGGTCGACTCAGATGTTTTAAGTTCGATTAGCGATATTGTTTTAAAACCTCCTAACACTGAGAAATACGAAGCTATCAAAAAACGATTAATTGAGCTGCATTCCGAGAGTGAGGAATCAAAAATTCGGACCCTTCTTCAAGGGCTGGAATTAGGTGACCAGCGACCTTCCCAATTATTAACACGAATGAGAGCACTCGCAGGTGATAATGTGGGCACTCCTCTCTTAAAATCTTTGTGGCTTGGTAGACTCCCTAACAACGTACAAACTATTTTGGCAGCCCTCAATGATGAATTAGACCAGCTAGCTTCAGTTGCTGACAAAATCAATGATCTCACCTCG